ATATGCTGGGTATTATAAAAACATTTAAACTGAAAACAACTTAGTGTTTGAGTTAATTTCTATGCAATCAGACTAAGAGAATAAGGGAAACTGGATTTGACAGAGGGAATTTCTAGTCTTATTTGACTGGGCAACAGTTTTTACAATTGGCAACAGACACTGGAACCATCTTTTGGCAACCAGTGTAAACATTTGAAAGCCTAGAGATATATTTATCCTTTTTATATATTTCTCTCTCTTTTATTTTTCTAGACTATATTATTGTTCCCCTTGCTGTTTGTTTGTTGGCTTCCCTAGAATTGATTACTTCTTTCTAAGGCCTTTGAAAAAGTTTGAAGAGTTTTCTCTTTAATTCTCTCCAAAAAAATGTCATATACTTTATATTTTTTAAAGTGATTATCAACTGGGTGCTGGAGACTCACATGTATAGCCTAGATACTCAGAAGGCTAAGATCAGAAAGGTAACAGTTCAAGTCCAGCCTGGACAGAAAAGTTCTTTGAGACTCTCACTCCAAAATAACTCAAAAAGCCAGGCTGGGAATGTGACTCAAGTAATAGAATGCCAGGTGTCCAAACAAGCCAAACAAGCAAGCTGAACAAGTTTGAGACTCTGAGTTCTAATCCCAGTTTTTTAAAAGTGATTGTCTATACTCAGGTTACTGTGAAATATACATGTTTATTGAGCAATTTTTTGCCCCTCACCCATTTCCATACTTGAAGAGAAAGTTAAAAGCCCACAGTATCTATCTATCTATCTATCTATCTATCTATCTATCTATCTATCTATCTATCTATCTATCTATCTATCTGTCTGTCTGTCTGTCTGTCTGTCTGTCAGTCTATCTATCTATCTATCTATCTATCTATCTATCTATCTATCTATTATCTTTAAGTATACAAAGGGATTTCAATTCAACATGTTCCTTTAAAAGTACAATGCATCTTGATCAGTATTACACCCTCTCTCATTCTCCCCCATATCTGTCTTGCAATATTTATTTTTAGTAGTAGTTATTTTGTATATCACCCATTTGGTATGTGTTTATATGAGTAATTGAGGATCTTGTCTGTTGTATAGCTGGTGTCATGGTAAACTCTGAAAATACAAGTGTCTATGAATTAACTTGTTTTTAATCAATGTCATAATGGTTTATTGAGCAAGATGGCATAGATACAGCTAACCATTATATAATCTTATAAACAATACAATCTATATCTGAAATGCTATGTAAATCTGGCTGAACAATTACTTAGTATGAAGGTGTACCAGACGACTCTTATGAACTGCTTGGCATACAACAGCTACAGCTAGGTAGTACGAATTAACTTACATGGAACTGTAGCTGAAATAGCATAAGATAGAATTTCATACAGTGCTATTCTGGAAACAGTTTTACAACTGGCTTTCTAGAAGGAAAGCTGTGATCTGTAGCATTTGCTAATGTCAGTGGTGTAAATACTTCCATCAGGACCCACTCTAAACTACCCACGGGAAATCAGTCAAATCAGGGGTTGGGAATAAAGGCTGACAATCAGCTCATCTGAATCTGTAGGAGTTAGCTCAACGTGCTGAGAACTTCATAATAATGATCACAGTGGGCACTGACTTAGGTGCCCAGAACTTCACTTAAAGCTTTACATTTAATTCACACTATCACCTATGAGTCTGGTTCTACACCACAACTCCCACTTACAGGATCTGTGCTACTAAAATGGTAAATGTGTGTGTGTGTGTGTGCCAGGGCTTGATCAACAAGGAATTTTGCTTGCTCTTGGATTTTTTTGAATCAAGGCTGATTTTTTTTAAATCAAAGCTGATATTCTACCACACCTCCATTTCCAGCTTTTTGCTGCTTAATTGGAGATAAGAATCTCATAGGCTTTCCTGCCAAGACTAGCTTCTAGCCAAGATTCTCAGATATCAACTTTCTGAATAGGTAAGATTATAGCTGTGAGTTGTGGGCCTAAAAGCTATATAATTTTTGGATATTATATATCTAGGAAAAAGTGGACTACAGAATTTAAAGTTATATTGATTCCAGAGCCTACTCACCTCACTACTAATATATTTTGCTTTCAGAATTTAAGAAATATATTCAGCATGGTTTTTATTTAATATGAACATATATAATCCCTTAAAAAAGCTAGAGTAAATAAGTAAGATGTATCAACTTGCAATGCCTAACAAAATATGTATTGAGCAGTCAATCACAGCAAAATGATGAATCTCAGTCAAACAAAACTGTGAAAAAGCAATCTAAGTAAGTATAACTTTGTATGGTTAAAAGGTAGACATTGCTGGAACTTCAGATAGATGTAGTAAATAGTTGAATGCTCTACCTGCGTTTTCAGTACTTTGGGTTCTGGGAAAAGGTTATCTCTGACTTGCTAAACATGCAGAAAATACATTAATGCACTCCTGACGTACAATTCAGACATGTAAAGATTAGGAATCACCACAGAACATGAAGTAAAGCCTGCCACCATACATTAGGCAAATATGCCCACGACAAACCACGGGAAAATGACTGAGAGGAAGTACAGTAGCCTAGAAAAGTAAGTCATGGGGGGACGCTGGGAAGGGATGGGAAGGGGAAACAAAGGAGGAGGCTACAATGCGATAAGAAATGTACTCATTATCTTGCCCATGTAATTGTAACCCCTCTGTTGAGTATTTTCACAATAAAAAATAAATAAAAATTTAAAAAAAGAAAGGTTAGTCATGTTATGGAGGTAGACAAGGAGGAAAACCAGTCCCGATATATGCCAGATTTGAGCTTGAAGTAACAGTAAGGAATAGTGGGGGCTGTGGAAAACCTGAACAAACTTGTAGGTCATTTAAATTCTGATTTTTCAATCAAATAATCTGGTTTACAAACCACACATTGGCTATCTCTATCAGGAATATGGTGATGAGTATCTCATAAAAGTAAGCTTGGGGCTGGGAAGGTGGCTCAATGGTAGAGTGCTTGCCTTGCATGCATGAAGCCCTGGGTTCAATTCCTCAGCACCACATAAGCAGAAAAGCCACAAGTGGCACTGTGGCTAGTGCTAGCCTTGAGCTGAAGAGCTGAGGGACAGCTCCCAGGCCTAGAGTTCAGGCTCCACAGATAATATTTGTGTTATAAGTTACTATCATTGCTCTAATGAAAGGTTAATTGTATGTAAAGATTTACATGTATCAAGTTCTTTCTATCCTTTCTTTTTTCTTTCTTTTTTCATCTTCCTTCATTCCTTCCTTCGTTCCTTCCTTTGTTCCTTCCTTTCTTCGTTCCTTCCTTCCTCTTTTTCCTATAGTGTGTGTGTGTGTGTGTGTGTGTGTGTGTGTGTGTGTGTGTGTGTGCTGGTACTGCAGTTTAAACATAGGACCAGGCCTGGGCACTGTCCTGAGCATTGTTGCTCAAGGTTAGCTTTCTACCATTTGAGCCACTCCACTTTTTGATGGTTAATTGGAGATGTGTCTCATAGACTTCAGGGTCTAAAGCTTACTAGGCAGGCACTCTAATAAATTAGGCACTCTTTTAGCCCTTCAAGGTATTCTGAAATATTTTCCTATCTAGTGCTTTTCATTGACTGGATAAAAATGCTATATATGATGTTTAGAGCCATACTTATTTAGAATAATTTTACTGATATTTCCTGACCCCCTGCATTCAATATGAATACTTTTATTAATGGTTTTTATTATTTTAAATATATTTTAATTTTTGTCTGTAAAGAAGTTTTAGGCTTAGAGTATTTATTAACCACTTGCATGATTTATTAAATTAAGCAAAATAGAGGTTTTTGATTACTGAGCTAATTACATATTTATTAAGAAATATGTAAGAAAAAAAGACAGCTGTTTTCTGCTTTGTTTTACAAAGAATATGCATTGGACTTAACAAATGCAGCACTGGCATCCAGTAGACATTATGTTGAAAATGAACTATACAACTTGTATGTAGCGATGGGAAGGAAAAACTGGTAGAGAGCAAGGGAAGGGATGATATTTTCCAAACAGAAATGTACTGTTTACCTGACTTAATGTAATTGTAGCCCCTCTGTACTTCATCATTACAATAACAATAAAAAAGTAAAAAGATGTATTGACTACTAATCACAAAAACACCGATTTTCAAAACAAAAGGCATTATAAAAATTCATTGTTACGTATGAGTCAGTACTGGTTATGACTTAGGCTGACACTATATCTAAAAGTTCCAAACATAACTTTTATATCTTAGTAATATTATCCATAATAGGGAGAAAAGCTTCGACTGCCTATGTGAAAACGAATCATTGTCACAATTATAATTGGACAATAGTCATTATTAGGATATTTAGTTCCCCACCCACATCCCCTCCCCCCCTTAGATGGAGGTAGACTAGCTCTTTCCCTAAGTATACACAGGGAAGTGGAAGTAGATTTGAAGTGTCTCTGGGATGTTTAAAAACTAAATTAAGCAAAGGAGAACAACACAACCCCTTTCCCCAGCCGCAGAGCTCGGAGTGGGGTTTCCTTGGTTTTACCAGACGCGTCCCCAGAGGAACCCAACCCGGCAACGGTCGCTTCTGGGGGAAACACTGACTTTCAGCATTTTCAATAATAAAAGGTTTTTCCACTCACAACTATGAGAGCCGAGATTCGAATTTGTTTTTCCCGTTCCGTCAGAGGGAAGACTTGAAACTTTCTGACTCGCTTCGGTGGGGCTTTCACGAAAAGGCGGCAAACACCGACAAAGTAAGTGCGTGCCGCGGGGCTGGGCTGAGGCGAAGAGCCGCTCACGCGCAGGGGTGGGCGGGAGGACTGGGCGGGGCTTAGGAGGGGCGTGCTGGGGGCGGGTCATGGGCGTGGAAATCCATAGTAAGAGTGCCTAGATTACAGCTAGGGGGCGTGTCGGGGGCGGGGAAAAGGAGGGTCCAGGGGGCGGGGCGAAGCCACTCTGCTCCTCTTTAAAAGGCTGGCGCGCGGCGGGGACCTTGGACAGATCCCGGAGGAAGGCAACTCGGCCCCCTCCATGTCTCTCCCTCACCCCTCGCCTCCGCCGGCCGAGCGGGAAGGGTCCGAAGACCCTGACTCCCCACCACCCCCTAGCAAACGTCCTCGTCAGGAGGAGGCAAGCGGAGTCTCCCGGGCGGGGTGGCAGCCGCCCCGGGGGCCTGGGGTAGAACCGGTGTGGCGCTGGCGGCCTAGCAGCTTCCCGAGGCTCCTCGCGAGGCAGACCGCGGGCGTGGCGGGCGTGGAGGGCGGCTGGGGCCCGGGTGTGGGGGGCCCGGCCCGGGGGGTGAAGATATGGAACGTGGCCTGGCAGAAGAACGAGTTCCCTTTCTCCTCACGAAGTTGGGGTTCCGGATGGAGGGCCTCAGGAAGACCTGGGGAACCTGGGCGGCGGGAAGGAGAGGTTTTCCGTGTGGTCCGCGGAGACAGCTCCCAGGCTGAAGCCAGGTCGCCCAGCACCCCCGCAGGCCTTATTCACGGAGTCGCACACCAGACTCCCAAAGAGAGAGACGGTGTTCTAAAGTTCCCTAGTTCCGTAAGACCGCCCGAAAGCCCGTTTTTAGATGTTACCTCTAACGAGGAAGAGGAGGAGAACAGATGCAGAGTTGACGGTGTCATGCCATCAGAGTGGAAAGAAAATAGCATCTCCTCATCGGTACTAAAAATATCAAAGTCTCAAAACCTGCCCAGCTTGGAAATTGCCAAACTCAGCTATTTTCGAGGTAGCATCACAACAAGTATCCTTGAGTTTCCAAAGGATTTAAATAGCAACATGTCCTTTGTCTATTTAAAGGAAATAGCAAAGAAAAAGAATGACAAATTGGAAGCATATGTTTGGGATTTCACAAACATTTACTGGTGCCAAAATAGACCTGATGTTGAGAAGCAAGAAGTACAGGATGATAAAAAAATTGTAGATGCAGAATATAATTTCCCTGACTATTTTGAAGGTATCCCGCAGTCAAATAGCAACCAAAACGCTCTTGAGAAGAAAAAAGGTTTGCTCAGTACAATCTATCACTATAGTAGTATCAAGTGTGTAAGAGACTCTAAAAAGAATTCCACTGTAATACTGGCAAATGCACACTGGAAGGGAGCAAAAAGAAGCTGGGACAGTTTCATACCTGTCAGGTTGGAAAAATCTCAAGGCTGGGATAGCAGCGTGAGACATATTTTGAAAAGAAACAGGCAAAATTGTTGGATTATAGAGAGTTACAAGAGCAACCGTGAAAATATGAAAAACACTGGAGAAATTTTGAATTTGCCTCAACTACTAGAATTAGACTTTTTACACAATGATTATCCTTGTACAAAACTCACAAATATTCAAACACAACAATCAAAGCCTCTGATGATAGGAAATGTGGGCAACCAGAAAACATTGATCAAAATTGTTCTGTTAAGTGGTGAAGGACAAAAAGATACTATGTTACAGTTAAGATATACTATGAAAAATGACTTCCTTTTAGGCAACACTTTACACAGTATTATAGATGATAGTATGATAAACTGGTATGGAATTTTGAGGTATGAAAGACAAATTAATGTGAAAGACAAATTAGTGATAGCCAGAAATATGTTTATGGATATAAGGAATGCCATTTTACACAAATATTTACAAGCTGGAGTTTCAGATGATTTAATTGACATTTTAAAAGCCAACATAATTTTTTTTCTAAATACATTTGATTTTTTATCAAGAATTGAAAATGATTCTGAATTACAATTGATAGTGCATTTAAATTATCCAAAAAATAGTATAGTAGGGAATCACACAGTAAGGATTCTAACTTTTTCGAGACCATTACAAAATAGCTTGAAACCTCTCTTAAAGAAAAGAAAGCTATCTGAAACTAAACAAGTTCTTGAGGGGCCTAAGAAACAAAACATTGATTCCATTAGCATGACCACTAAAGATAAATGTCTTCTGATTTTTGAAGCATACAAAAAATTTCCTCTTCCAATATATTTTGATTATGCAGGAGAAAACAGTTTGACAAATGTATTTAATTTTAAGATTACAAGTTGTCCTGAACAACATACTAATGTGGAAAGCTGGGCTTGCCATAGTTACACTGAAAGAAAACAGGATCATGACACAGTCAGTCATTTCAATTTTAAGTATATATTTGAAAATTTCTTTAATATCAAGCAACAGGCCATACCCATAAGCCAAAACACACTACATAGTGAACAGAACAAAACCATAGCTCACATGTTAAATTTTGAGAACTTGCCGAGTGAAATAGAAGGGAAAAAATATAACTTTACTTTCCCAAAAGAGGTAAAAGTCACAGCATCAAATTTAACAAAAACTTTACGGGTTTATAAAGGTATTCATTTAGAAAAAGAAGAGAAAGATAGATTTTTTCCAATGGGGCGCATATGTTCTGTGCAGGCTGTTTCATTAATGAGTGAGAAAGTAAATGTGGAAGAAACCAAATTTGTTAGTCAAAATCACAGAGCTGACAAAAATGAATACAAGAGTATTTTTCGAGAAAGTAAGCCGGCAAATTCAAAGCCTTTTCATCTAAAGACTGACTCTATATTGTGTGTTAATCATCAATTTGAAACTGATTCAAGTGAAGAGAACAATGAATGTTTTCAAGCCTCAGTGGTTAAATGTTTGTCAACAGAAGCTCTAACAATAGCAAAAGATTTTGAGATGAAGAGTAAATTTGATTTAGTTCTTGAAGAACTTTGTCGGTTTCATGAAATTAGTAACGAAAATGAAGTTCTAAGCACTGTGGAAAAACACAAGAGCCAAGGAAATTACATTGGAGCAAGTAATGATGTGGAGGAGGCAAAAGTGGAGAGAAGAAAGGATTTGAACATTTTTGCTGCAAACAAAACATGTACAGTTTCTTTGCCTTGTGATAAGATAGCCAGTCCTACTATGCTTAAAAGATACCAAAGTTTATTTAAATGGAAAACGGCACCTGGAGTCAGAGAACGGGAAGTTCTCTCTGAGTATTGTTATCCTAGAAGATCAGAGAAAAAAATACTATATTCTGCTTCTGAAGAAGGTATGCATACAGTTCACTTTCTATTTTTCCTTTTTTTTTTTTTGCACTAGGGTTTGAACTCAGGGCTTACAATTCCTTAGACCAGCATTTCATTGCTTGAACCACACACATCTAACCCCTAAAATTCACTTTAATCTTTTTTACTATAAAGAGTTATTCCTTTCTCTTTTTCCTGTTTCAGACAAGCATGTTTTTTAATGGAAAAGAATAATATAAAGTAGAAGATGAATATTTATTAGCAAAAACTATTTTGCCATAAAGGTCTCATTTGAAATTGAAGAATCTTTCCTACTTTATTTCTCTAAACATTAACAGCCAACTGAAAGAGTTATTTGTGGAAAAATAGTTTGCTTATAGCAGTAACATTTTTTAAAGGAAAGTTACATTTTGATATAACAGATTCATCTTCATTTTCAGCTTGCAAACCTCCTTTACCCAATAGACATGCTTTTCTTCCTGATGAATGTAAGGAAGAAAAAATTAATGACTTATTGAAAGAAGGTAAGATCTTTAGTTAATTCTTTTTCTAGATTATCTTTTAAGGTGATTGTAATATTCTTATGTTTTTAGCATGACAAAAATATTGTAAGTTGGTTTAAGATAAATACTGTTTCATACTTTTAGAAAATAGTCATAATTTACTGATACATATCCTAGCAGTAACAAATTGGTTAAACATCAAATGTTATTGAAAACAAAACTGGGAAATTCACTTTATAAAACTGTGTTTAAATATTTGCATTGATATATGTAAGCATGTTTTTGTTAAGATAAACAGCCTGTATGTAATGCTGATTTTATTTAGTTATTGCTTTAGCTTGGATAAATCATCTAACTTTTCTGAACTTAAGTTTCCATATTTTAACTTGCATGTAATATTAAGTGAAAGTGTATTTAAAATGGCTAGTACACTAAAAAATCCTGAGCTAGTCTTATGATTAAAGGTAAGTAAAGATTTTTGAAGCATATTGATAACTTTTACTCCTTTATGTAATTTTTGTTGTCTTTTGCTTTTAGGCAGGCATTTTTCACAAGGCATTGCACGGGTACAACCTCTTAAGACATGTAACCGACCTATCAGGATCGGTTTGTCAAGAAAAGCTAGACTTGCACAACTTCACCCCTACCTAAAATAAATGAACTATGAGAGTGTAAAAGAAGATCTTGGACTTTTGTATTTGAAAATATTTCACAATATCTAGAATTCTTTTTCTTTCTTTGGATCAATTTTTTCTTTTAGCCTGAAGATTTTATATATTATGATAAAGTATGAAGTATGTGGAAAAAGTTTAGAGTTAAATGTTTCATGGATGTTTTTATATCATATGATCAATATATGCATTAAAATCTTTTCACAATCTTATGAACTAGATCTTGATATTATTATTATTGTTGTTGTTGTTCTTCTTCTTCTCCTCCTCCTCCTCCTCCTCCTTCCTTTTCCTCCTCCTCCTCCTTTCTTCTTCTTCTTCTCCTTCTTCTTCCTCTTCTTCTTCTTCTTCTTCTTCTTCTTCTTCTTCTTCTTCTTCTTCTTCTTCTTCTTCTTCTTCTTCTTCTTCTTCTTTCTTCTTTCTTCTTTCTTCTTCATCTTTCTTCTTGTTATTATTGTGTCAGTACTGGGACTTGAACTCAGGGCCTTGGCATGATCCCTGAGCTTATTTTGCTCACTGAAGCCCAAGTTCCATTGCCATTATTTTAGTGATGGATTAATTGAAGGTAAGGGTCTCACAGACTTTCCTGCCTGGGCAGGAAAGGCTTTGAAACTTGGTCCTCAGATCTCAGCCCTGTAAGATAGCTAGAATTACAGGTGTGAGTCTCTGGTGCCTGGCTGGACTTATTATTTTTATGATATATATGCATGTGATCCTTTTGTACAGAAGATTGATAACATTGATCAATTCTCCCTTCTTCTCTCTACATAGTTCTGTGAGGTTCTTTGTGGGGGATTAGAAAGCTGGAGGGCAATAGGGAGGCAACATTTCAGGTTTCTAAGTCTTTGTATGGCCAGGTTTGGAGAGACTGCATGGGAACTGTGCCAGAAGCCATTTTAAATCAAATTATTCTACCTTGTTCTTTTTGCTCTTGTTCTTAAAATGTAAAAGTTGGATGCTTTCAGATCAGTAGAGAAATATTCAAAGGATAAAAAGCCCCTTCAAAAAAAGGCTTCTTTTTACTTTAACCTTTGACTAAGTCTGTGACCTCGGTTTAAAGTAAGCACTCTTGGTGGTGGAACACTGAGCTTTTCTCCATTAACTTGGAAATGTTTGACTGGTAGTCAGTATCTTAAATATGCGAACTTCAGGTTAATATTAATCATTTTAGCTTAATTAGTTAGATAAAATGAAAAGTAAAAGATGCTGTGAAGTAGATCTCTAATTCCATCTAAATTGCATAAGAGAACCATTATAGAGTCAACCATCATTCTAAGATAATTTTCTAATTATGGAAACATTTTTAGAGTCCTGTTCTAGTTTGTGGCAGTTTAAATTACTGAAATAATTTTTAGACTAGGGAATAGGATTTAAAGATGTCAGAAGGGGACTAAATTATTTCCTCCCCAATTTATTGGAAAACAAACCACTATTTGTAGCATCCTTGCTATACAAACCAGTTTAATTTCATTTTAAGGCTCAAGAGTGTGACACGACAGCACATTCAGGAGAACCAGTCACATACCTGCCCATCCTAAGACAAAAGAAAAACTTTACTGATGTAACTGTAACCTCTCTGTACAGCATCTTTACAAGAAAATAAAATTAAAAAGAAAAAAACAAGAAAAAACATGCGGCATAAAGCTCTCTTTAATCATGTTCCCTTAATTTGGTAAATTTTGTAATTTAGGGTACATTTTATTTAATAAAGTCTTGTAAGGTATAGTGATGCATGCTTATGAGTCCAACTACTGAGTAATAGGAGGATCACTGTTCAAAGCTATGTGACTAGCAGTAGGGATGACTTAAATATGTCAGGATGAATATATGTTTTTTCTTGTGGCAAATAACAAAACTATTTAACTGCTCCCTTCTGGAATTTAAAATTCTCTTTCCTATTCTTTTCTGTGTTGCCGTACTTTCTCCTTGGTTCAAATAAATAGCCAAAGCTTGGAACTAGGTGCTGTGCATTACCTATGCTACTATACACTACATATGTAAGTTGATTTTGAATGATAAGTATACTTTTCAAAATTTAATATTCTATCTTTTATCTCATTTAAAGTTCATTTAAAGAAAACAATAGACTAAACTTAGATTTTTAAAAAAAAAATTACTACTTCCATTTGAGTCCATAATAGCTATCTACAAAAGTTCTTGGTATTTTTATTGTTTTAATTGAGTTTTCCTATTTCATGTTTAAATAATCTCTAATTTTTTAATGATTCTTTCTTAAAAAGGTAATATTTAGATGTGATATTACTAAAGATTAAACTAAAATAGTGAATCTCTCTGTTATATTTTCAAGATATATAGTTAATTTTCTTATGGTGAAAAAATGTGTTTTATTCTATATTTAAAATCATTTTGAGTTGGAGAATTTGATCTGTTTCAGTAAGTCAGGTTTTTGAGAGGAAGCAGTTACTGAAATTCCAGAAATTAGGACAAATTCTTTTCTTTTTTTTTTTTTTTTGGTAATTTATACATTACACCTCCAGAGTTCACCCAGAGGTCTCCAGTGTCTTTGGATTGATATCTGCTTTTAAGTTCAATAGTATTTGTTTAATACAGTTGTGTCTTCATATGGTGAAATTTAGTTCTTTCTCTAAACCCTCCATGTTGAGACATAATTGAAAAGTAAATGAGACTCCTTCCTTCCTCGCTTCTTTCTTTCTTTCTTTCTTTCTTTTCTTCCTTTCTTTCCTTATTGCTGATTCTATTTTTTAAAATGTTTTATCTTGGCCTTTCTGTCATGTTATCCTTTTTCTAAATAGTATTTAAAAAATACTCCATTTGTTATCCTATTTACTCTTTATAATGCTCCCAATTGAAATATTTTGTGACAAGTATCCCTATAGTAGTGTAAATTTTATTACTCTCCACTTTCGTATACATTTTACTGTCTGTTTTCCTTACTTAAGCATGAGGTTTATGAAGAATGCAAGATTAATATATATTTCAGTAATCTCTGGGATTTATTTTGCTAGTTTGTTGTACTGTTTTAAGAATCGGGAAAATTTCACCTTACTTTTGAAGCTACTTTATGTGTGTGTGTGTGTGTGTGTGTGTGTGTGTGTGTGTGCATACTGTACTTGAACTTAAGGCCTAGGTTGTATCTCTTAGCTTTTTTGCTCAAGGCTAGCATTTTATCCCCTTTGGCCACAGCTCCATTTCTGTTTAATTGTTTGTTGACTTACTTATTTTACTGGGTTCTTTGAGTCACACAGCCTTTTCTGCTGAGGCTGACTTCAAATGGTGGCTTCAATGCTGAGCTTCTTAAGCTACTTCTAATTAACTCTCATTATGTTTGTTTGCAAAACTATTAGTAATTCATTCTCATCCTGAGGAACTTTTGTGTAGTTTTTTAAAAAAACTTAAGTATTTTCTATATTTCGCTTAATTTAATTCATCCTGACAATTTACTATCATTCTGTTTTCAGATAATGAAAGAAATGTTTATGTTAAAAGACTTTCATATCTGTAAACAGACTGTATAAAACTTTAGCTTCAAACCCAGTATCTGGCATGTACTAAATGTTTGTTACACCAAAATGAGGTACAATATTCTGCTTATTAACTTCATGATTGATAGTTTTTCTTTCCCTCTTTTCCCTTTTACTTTTTTTGGTATGCAATATTTCAAGCTAATTCCTGGATATACAATGAACCTAAAATGTGGTCATAGTTCTCATGAGTCTGATAACCTTGTTGGAGCTATGCAACATTAATGCATTAAAAAAATAGAGAGAAGACATTTATTATTTTTCCTTAGATAGTAAACAAGTACACAGGATGAAATTAAAAAATAGAAATACTTATTTACCTTTATTGCATAGTATTATAATGGATATTCATAAAGTTGAGACATATATTCATATTAAAAATTGATTATTAGTTGTAAAATAGGTTACAATACCATAAGTCAGGTTATAAATATAATTCATTAATGCATCTTGATCAGTGTTACCTTTTCCATCATTCTCCCACATTACTTCCCCTTCCTTCCCTCAAGTTACATAGACCAATTTTTACATGATGTACATTGACTATAATGAATTAAAAATATTCATTTTTACAATTACATTCATGGAAAGGTAATTTCAATTTACATATTGTAGGGTATTGACTGAAATAAAAATAACAAAGTTTAACTTATTTAATAAAAATGTCAATTTTTATATTAAATATTAAAGCTAGAATGATACTAAATAATGTTTAAATTTGTGGGCTCTTGATATAAAACTGTAAAAAATTACTTTATATTATCTTCTGGTTATTTTTTGATAAATTGCCATGGCCATGTTTTAATATATAAAATATTATAAAAAGTCAAGTATTCATAAATATTTTAATAAATAAATAGTTAAATATTTAAGATGTTTCAGAAAACAATTTATACTCATGCCCTCATTTCTTACGACTAAGTATGTATATGTACACAATTTTCATCCTAGTTTTGCTTATGTTAAACTCCAGCTTGAAAAGTTAGTAAAAAAATTTAAATGGAGGGCTGGGAAGGTGGCTCAATGGTAGAGCGCTTGCCTTGCATGCATGAGGCCCTGGGTTCGATTCCTCAGCACCACATAAGCAAAAAGAAAAAAAAGCCAGAAGTGGCGCTGTGGCTCAAGTGGTAGAGTGCTAGCCTTGAGCTGAAGAGCTGAGGGACAGCACCCAGGCCCAGAGTTCAGGCCCCATGACCGGACCCTCCCAAATTAAATGGATTGTTTTGAATATATTAAAAACCTAAAAGACAATCTTTCCAAGTTGTTACTACACAAGATTAGAATAATGATGTAAGATCTGACTTTAACTACAAAGGATTTTTATCTAACATTAATGAATCCCTAAAAATGAATTTATTATTAGTCTATTTTAATCACATCTTATTTCTAAGTATCCACTGTGAGTGACAGTGTACTTAATGATAGTAATTATACATTTTTCCCTAATATATATTTTTTATTGTAAAGATACTCCACAAAGTG